AGGGATGAATGGATAAAGAAGATGCATATATACACGATGGAATACTACTCAATACAAGAAATGATGAAATCCTGCCATTTGTGATAACATGGATGGACCTTGAGGATATTATGCTAAGTGAAATAAGTCAGAGGGAGAAAGTCAATTATCATATGCTCTCACTCATAAGTGGAAGATAAAAACAATGATAAACATATAGCAACAGAGATTGGATTGGTGGTTACCAGAGAAGAAGGGGTTAGGGTGAAGGGGGTGATTAAGCACATGTGTGGTAACAGATTTTAAATTGTCTTTGGGTGGTGAACATGATGTAATCTACACAGAATTCGAAATATATTACGATGTACATCTGAAAGTTATATAATGTTATAATCCAATGTTACTGCGATGATAAAAAAAAAAATTTTAAAGAAGGGTAGTGCTATCCCCAGTGGCTTGAGGGATATATCTCTGTCCCCGCCAGGTAGGGAAAGTCAGTCAGTCGGTAGCATAGCGCCTACCAGGGCACACATTCAACTTTTGCCAAATTAATCTGAAACCATGAGAACCGGAAGGTTTCCAACTCCCCGAAGCCGCGCTACGGAGACACGAGGTGGCGCTGTTAGCAGCACGGGGTGGGAAGGCGGGACTTACGGCTCGAGAGCGGCCATATCCTCGTAGCCAATGGACAATCTGCCTGCCGCTCACTCCCTAACAACCAATGAGGAGGGAGTTGTGCTGCGGCTGACTGAGAGGACACGCCTCGGCGCGCGGTGAGCCTTGAACTCCGATTTGGGGACGGCCGGGGTCGCTAGGCTGGCGGAGGTTGGGCCCCGCACTCCGAGGCTGTCCCCGCCGGGTGCCCCGACCCCCGCCACCCGCGGCACCCCACTGGACAGCACCCACAAGAGCTGCTCCTCCTCCCCCTCCCCTTCCTGGAGCGCCGGGGCTTAGGCGGGAGGAGGGACGGGCCCCCTGCACTGCCGGGCTGTATTTGCAGTCACGCCGAGCCCACCTCGCCGGGGGGACTTGCCGCATCACTGGCTACAGCCCTTTCTCAAATGGGCGCCACGTCCTCGCGCGGGAAGCCCCCAACCAACACATACGCTGCGTGCTCTTTGTAGCTGCCTGACCTCCCCAACCAGACTGTGAACCCTGACGTCAGGACTGGCGCAGGTGTGTCTGCGTCTCCCCGCAGGTCTTACCTGAGGATGTCCCGGGGAACGGGCCTCTTCAGACATTGCCCAGCAGCACCCAGCTCCCAGGGCAACGCCGGTTCCCTTTGCCTGTTCAGAATAGGCGGCTTTCCCCTGGGAAGGAAAACTGCGGGATCGCCGTGGCACAGAGTTCTTCCAGGACTCCAGATTCTTCAGATTAGTCTTGCCCATGGTTCTGGGCACGATGTTTCCCGCCTGAAGGCACTGGATTGAGTCGGCCTGAAGCCCGTAGGTTGAATTTGGGCGCTCAGAATAGAAGATGTGGAAACCAATTAGGTTCTCCCCTAGAGACTTGATTTATGAGCCTCCTTCCTAACAGAGCATGTGGCAGACCTGAAGTCAAAAATGAGAGAGAGGAACTTAAAGTTAACTCTTGAGTCTGCGGTAGAAGGTACTCAACAACAACAGAAACTAGTTCCAGCTTTCTTAGGGTTTCAGAGGAGAACCAGGGCTCTGCTGGGAAGGCCTGGATGAGAACACCAAGAGAAGCCTGGAAATGAGCACCTGTCAGGGCCCTGTGACTCTGTCGGGCCAGGACCAGGAGTGGGTCCAGACCTCCCTACTTGCCTCTGTGCCTCTTCTGGTTGAAAAAGATGAAGCCAAGAGGAAGGAAGTGCGGTGTCCTCATGGATGTGAGCACATTCCGTCCTCCGTGCTCAGATTCAGAGACCTAGAGCTGGTCTGTGGCCAGGAAATCGGGATTCCTGAATGTGCTGGATGTTTTTCTTGCCCCTCCGGATGTACTTTCCACCCTTCTCACCTGCCTTATGCCCTGGCAGTCTGGCCTCTGTGGACCACACTCAAAGGCTCCCTTGTGCCGTGGCCTGGCGTTGGGTTCAGCCTATAGGTGACACTGGCAGGTGAATGAGATCCAGGTATTTAGTCCCATGGCTTCCTCTGTGCCTGACCCCACTTTGGCATACCAGCGTCCTTCTACCAAAGGCGACAGATCTTGTCAGATGGCTCTGTCCTCTGCATCTACCCCGGTTCTAGTGGCCGTTCCCTCCCCTTGTCCCTTCAGGTCTACCAATGAAAATGGCTTCCTACTGCTGCTGGCCTCAGGGTGCCCCACCATCCCTTGATGATTTCCCCTAACCCTGCCTCACCTTTGTCGGTAGTCCCTTCTTTAAAGTCTCTTCATTCCCCCTGTGAGTGCCGTCTGTTTCCTGACAGGACCCTAATTGACACGCTGAGTTTTCTTTACTTCAATTTTCCTCTCCTTGGACCCTGGAGTCAACCTCATTCACTCTACCAACATGGTATCTGTAATATGCCGGTTATGAGCTCAGCACCAGCGATGCAGAGACAAGAGACGGAGGTCACAGTCAATCACCATCCCAGATGATGTGGGTTACGCTGGAGGTCAGCGCCAGGTGGGGCATAGCTTGGGGAGGGAAATGGTCGAGGGGGCATCACAGAGTCAAAGGCAGCGAGGTGAAGATGGGGACGGGGTGGAAATGCTCCAAGCAGAGGGCAGTGTACAGAGACATCAGAGGGAGCCACAGGGGGGCTGGGCACTGCACAGAGTGGTGAGGGGTCACAGGTGACACTGGCTACCACAGAGGTAACAGGAGCCAACCCATGGAAGCCCTTGTATCCCAGTGGGGGGCCCTCTGGAGGACCTGGACAGGACAGTGAACGGTCAGATTTCCATTGTGGGAAGGTGATTCTAGTGGAGACAGACTGGAGCAGGCAAGTTTGGGAGCAGGGAGGTCAGTGAGAGTCCTGCAGGAATGTTGGTGAAGCATCTTGACAAGAGCAGGAGGCGTGGCATGCAGGCGACAGGTGAGGGAGCTCCGGACATAGAGCTCACAGAGCTCGCAGTGCACCAGGAGTGGCTGCCAGGGGAGGAAGTCCCGGGCTGGCAGGGCTGCCAGACGCTCCGCTGGAGCATCTGGGTGGGCGGCAGTGGCAGACCCACGAGAAGGGAGGCACAGAAAACTGGGTAGGGGTAGGGGGGCAATGTGTTCTGCGTAGAGTTTGTTGCATTTACAGTATTGATGGGACCGGCAAACAAAAATGCCCATAAGGAAACAGGGGATATACGTCTGAAACTTCAAACAGTCTAGACTAAAGATAGGCCCTTGATCATCATTTTAAAGACATTGGAGGAATGGCACAAACCTTGAATACAGATAAGCTTCCTCCTTCCGTGCTATTTGTTGAGAAGACCATCAGTGAACAAGAATTTCAGTGCTAACGTTGCTTCAGCACTGGCTACACGTCAGGACTATACCAAGTACTTTATGGTGAGTCCCTTGACCTCATGTGTTATAATCCTCACAGCAACCCTGTGAGGCACCGACTAGAGTTATCTCCATTTTACAAATAGGAAACAGGCTCAGAGAAGTTAAGGAACTGACCCAAGGCTGCAGGGCTAAAAGATGTCATAACTGATATTTAAATCTAGAGAGTCTGACTCCTGATCCTGGGCTTTTTCTTAATCATTTCACTGAATGAGCACCTCAGTTACTCAATCTATACCAGGGTTTTATACTTTTTTTCTTCGTGTTGTTTACCTCCAAGAATGAGTAGGCCTTAAAGAGAAGGCTGGGGCCAGCCCCGTGGCACAGCTGTTAAGTTCGCACGTTCTGCTTCGGCGGCCCAGGGTTCGCTGGTTCAGATCCCGGGTGCGGACGTGGCACTGCTTGGCAAACCATGATGTGGTAGGCGTCCCACATATAAAGTAGAGGAAGATGGGCACGGATGTTAGCTCAGGGCCAGTCTTCCTCAGCAAAAAGAGGAGGATTGGCAGCAGATGTTAGCTCAGGGCTAATCTTCCTCAAAAAAAAAAAAAAAAAAGAGAAGGCTGGAGTTAACTGCCCTTTCTCTACAGACTGTGAGCTGTTAAATCTGAAAGTGCTGGAGCTTTGCCCCCTCCTGCTAATGACGAGACAAATACAGAGGTGACCGTTGACTGACTGAATTATCTCCTAACTCCATTCCTAATGATTTGTATCTCAAATCAAGTAGACAGCTTTTCAGAAAATTTGATCTGGGGTGTGACTTGCACAGTGAGAGGGGAAAATGCAAATCTAGTTGTTACTCCCTGTTTAAATCCTTCCCTGGGCCTCCACTGCCTCCAGGAGAAAGTCCACATTCCCTCCCATCTGACCCTTGCTCCCTCTCCAGGGTTCTTACTGGCTGGCGGTACCAGCTTCTCCCAGCGGGATACAAACAACCCAGCCATGAGAACCACTCACACTTCCTAACCACACCAAGCCTCTGCCTTTTCCCCCAACATTTTACTATAAAAATGTTCAAACATATGGGAAAGTTGGGAGAAAAACTTACAATGAATATCCATTTATACACCACTTAGACTCAACAATTAACATTGCTGTATTGGCTTTATCACATATCTATCCATCTACCCATCCTTGAGCCATTTAGTATCTTATGCATTTCCGGGTAAGTTGTGGACCTCTGTCCACGTCCCTCTAAATCCTTCAGCACACATACCATTGACGAGAGTTCCATATTTGTTTTCAGTTCTTTTTTTTTCCTTTGAGGTAGAATTAACACGCAACAAAATGTACAAATCTTAGGTGTATGTATTAGGGTTTTTGGTGCTGTAACAAATCACCACATAGCATCTTAAAACAAATTTATTCTCTTACCATTCTGGAGGCTCAAAGTCCAAAGTCAGATGACTGGGCTAAAGTCAAAGTGTGGGCAGGGTTTGTTCCTTCTGGAGGCCCTCAGGGGACAATCTGTTTCCTTGCCTTTTTCTTCTAGAACATTCCTTGGCTCATGACGCCTTCCTTGAACGGCTCCAACCTCTTCGCCTTTGCTCTTTTGCAGCCCTGTCTCCTCTGACCTCCTGCCTCGCTCTCAGGAGGACTCTGTGACTACACCAAGATGATCCAGGACAATCCTCCATCTCAAGGTGTGTAATTTAATCACATCTGTGGAGTTCCTTTGGCTATGAAAGTAACTTATTCACGGGTTCCAGGGATCAGCATGTGGTCGTCATAGGGAGCCATTATTCAGCCTACCACACACACCAGTTAGTGAGTTTTTACAAATGCATACTTGTGTTACACACTTGCTTACTCCAAACCCCCATCAAGGTACAGAACGTTACCATCAGCCCCAGAAAGTCCTCTCATGCCCTGTTCTCATCAGTCCCCTCTCCCACTCCCACTGCCCAGAGGTAAGGACTGCTCTGACTTATTGCCTCTCCTAGAGCTTCCTCTAAATGGGATAATACAGGAGTTCGTCCTTTGATTCTGGCTTCTTTTACTCCACATGATGTCATTGAGACCTCTCCATGTTGCCGGGGTCAGTATTGGTCTGCTCCTTCTTATTACTGAGCCACATTCCATTGTACGACTAGACCACGGTCAGTTTATCCATTCACCTGCTGAGGGACTCCAGGCTGTTTCCACTTGTTGTCTCTCTGTGCTTTTGGACCAGATGCTGACATTGCTCCTTCCTCCTGGAATAACCTCCTGCCACCTGCATCCGTTCCCCTCACACGCAATCAGTCCCACGCTCGTTGGCCTCACGAAGAGTAACTCCTCCCTCAAGACTCAGTGCAAAGGCCACCCCCCCTGGGGAGCACTTCATAAACCACTGTCCCCACCGGACGAGTGGATGGCCCCTCCTCTGCACCCTGTACACACTTCGGCCTCCACACCTGACCACTGTATGTTCTTTGCTTGCCTGCAAGTCTGTCTGTCCTCACTCAAGTCCACACCCCCAAGAGCAGGAGCCAGGGCTTTCATGTCTGCGTCTCCACGTGGAGGGCAGTGGAGGGCGATAGAGATGTGCCAGCCCTGGAACCACTGCCAGCAGGGGCTGAAGTCCTGGTTCCGGCATCTTCATCTGTAATGCGATGACAATGTTCTGGCCAACCTCATAGGGTCATTGAGGGGAGTAAATATGCAACACAGGTGAAGCACTTAGCCAGGGCTTGGCACAGAGTGTCTGACACATCAGCCCTACTATGTGTTTGTGGAATAAACAGATGAGGGGATTTGTTAAGGATGGTGCAGCTGGCCCCAGGTCAGCAAAGCTTTGGGGGTTTTTTTGCATTCTGATTGGACAGAGAAATCCATTTCTTTCCAAAATTGATGTGAGCTTGGGAGAAAGAGAGGCAGTGACTCTTCATGAGATAAGCTGACAGCCTTTACCCATAACTAATTTTGGTCACTGTCTGAGGGCATGGAAGTCCACTGCTCCCCAGAGGAAGGGCAGAGTCTAGTCAACATCTGAGAAGCTTCAACAGGCTGCCCAGGAGGAGACCTCTGAGCTGCTTGTTCCTCAGGGAAATGTGCCATTGTGTCCCTCTGGGTCCAGAGACATTGCTATGCCCTGGGTTGGTTGGGGTCATGACTTTTGCTATCAAACTAGTTCCACAATAGGACCTGAGGTTCCTAAATTTTCTCATTCTGAGGCAAACTAGAACCTAAAGAGGTTAACAACCCAGCAACAACCATGAAAAATATATTGATGTAATTTTTTCCTGTCTTTTCCATATAATAAGTATCTTCTTTTTCAGTGGTCTATTCATCAAGAACTTGGGCTTCTTGACCATAGCGTTTGTGTGGTAAACCTTTTTTTGTCCTTTGGTGAAGAAGAGTGGCCTGGAGCTAACATCTGGGCCAGTCTTCCTCTATTTTGTATGTGGGACGCCACCACAGCATGGCCTAATGAGCAGTGTGTAGGTCTGCACCAGGGATCTGAACTTATGAACCCTGGGCCACCAAAGCAGAGTGCATGAACTTAACCACTACACCACAGGGCCAGCCCCATGCAAACCTGTGTTTTAATTCATTTTCTCTTGTTATAGAAATAATACATGCCCATTGGGGAAAGTTGGGAAATATGGAAAATTATAAAAAGAAGTCAAGAAGTACTCTTGAAACCGAAAACAAAGAGGTTAAAAACATCTTTCCTGGTCTAGAAGAACAAAACCTTTGAGGAAAGCTTCGTTAACTGCAGCTGTGCACGTTCAGCATAGTCAACCGTTGTTTGAAACTAACCAGGTCTTTCTGTCCCTCCTTTGTCTATGAGTGAGCTGTCTTTCCCAGGAAGTCAAGGTCCAGATGTCAAGATTCAGCCTCACAAGGCCAAATGCAGGCTGAAGATGAAAAGTCCAAACAGTCAAGGGAAAAGAAATTCAGTCTTCAGGGCTGAACACAGGTGGTGGGAAGGTGCCAACCAGCAAGGCCATATGCTCCCCCTCCTCTGCCTAAAACCCTAGATAAAAACCACTGCCTTTTTCCCTTCAAGGAGGTGGATCTGAGTTCTAACTCCCATCTCTTCATCTAGCTGACTTTCAATAATAGTAAATCTCTTTCCTTGTCACAAGCCTGGTGTTTCAGTCTTCTCTTTAATGGCCCTACTAAGCAGCAGGTAAACGAACTTGTGTTTGGGTTCAATAACAATTTGGCAAGCCAGCCAGGAGGCTCTTGCCCATGGCTCCGCAGCCCCAAGCCAACTGGCATTTCCTGGGAAGCAGTCCAGCAGCTGCCTAGGTGATTTGCCCTAGAGACTGTCCCCAGCACTTTCCATCTGACGCAGCACCGTTGGCCCTAGGCGCATTTTTCTTGTGGCAAGGAAACAGGCTCTATATTTGTTTGTTTGTTTGTTTATTTGTTTTGGCTTCTGGTTTGGAACGAACGTCCTTTTGGTAAGTTCCCTCATTAAAACCGACCGAGTCCTATTTTTCCTTCCTTTGTTTGCCTCTGCTTCAGGGATTTCGTTCCGGATTCCTGGAGCTTGTTCAAGGGGCTCTGATTCTGTTGAAAGGACTAGGGACCTCACTCAGAGAGAAGACTCTGGGCCCCATTTGTTTTTGATTGATGCTTGTGTGTATATGTGAATGTGGAATTTGTTTGCCTGTTTGGGGGGGTTTGTTCTAGGTTACTGGAGTTTGTTCAGAGGGAAGCTTGATTTGTTGAAGGGATTAACTCTTGGCTCCATCCGTTTTGGTGCTTGTGTGGAAACGTGTGAGTATGTGTACTGTGTGTGTGTGGATGGAAGTTTAATGGGAAACTCGGATTCAATTCCCAGTGGCGGCCCTCTGGGTTATGTATTGCAAAATTGGGATGTTTTCAGTTAGAAACCTATAAAAAAGAAAAAGATGAAACAACCAAATTTAGGGTCTCACCTTCCTCTTATGGTCTTAGAGGTGCTAATGAAAACATCAAGTTAACAAAAGAATAAAAAGCTGAGAAAAAAATAAAGGGACTCTTCTCAACAAGGTGGAAAATTTTTTAAAGGGTTTTTTTTTAAATTAAGGTAAATAAGACAAATATTAAAAGGGGGGAAAACAAAGAGAAATCAGTAAAGGAAAGAGTCACAGGATCCATCCCAACAGGATGGAAATCTTCAGCTAGTTATTAGAAAGAAAAACGGTATGAATGGAATAGACATGAATGACGTTAAAACAATGTGTTTAATAAAACACTGCCTAAGGTTGAGTGGGCTGGAAGGACTCCCTTCTGGCCCCCCCCCCACCAACATTAAAGAACTTCAAACAGGCCTGTTCTGTGTTCACCCCAGTTTGGAACAAAAGAAATTTTAAAAGCCAGAAGGCAGAAATCACAATGAGAAACCCGAACAACAGTCGCTTAGGGCAACAAACAGTTAGGCTGCTGAGATTGATAAGATTATAAAGATTAAAATGTTTGACCTAACATTATATAAGGAGGTCATGTCAACTTTGACTGAATGGCTGTCACGTCTGGCTGGGAAAGCGTCCCCTGCACAGTGTTATAAGACCAAGACTTGTTGATGGAATCCTCGTGGAGGCTGTGATTAGAGGTATGAGTTGATGAAATTAAGGTAAAGTTTTGGGAAAAAATAGTGTATTTAAATGAGATTTATGTAAAATGATTGCATCTCTTTTGCCTGATTGTATTATCGATTATGGTGTGAGGATAAACATTTTGTCTCACTGGGGAAAATTTCCCCTGCCTGATATTGTAAAAGCATATAAATCCACCCTTCAGGCAGTGTTAATTAAACATGCTAAAGGAGATTTCACTTTAAAATGACTGAAATGGGGCAATTTCAGTTTACCTGAACTGGTGTATTTGCTTATACAATTTGGAAGAAGCCAGCTACAAAGTTAAACAACCAATGGGAAGCCTACTTTAATCTTTTGAGAATTCTAAGTGAAATCAAGAATACCTTACAGTAAAAGAATGAAAGTAGACCATTATCTTACACCATACACAAAAATTAACTCAAAATGTATTAAAGACTTGAATGTAAGACCTGAAACAATGAAACTTCTGGAAGAAAACATAGGTAGTACTCTTCCACATCAGTCTAAGCAGCGTATTTTCAAGTACCATATCTGACCGGGCAAGGGAAACAATAGAAAAAGTAAACAAATGGGACTACATCAAACTAAAAAGCTTCTGCACAGCAAGGAAACCAGGAACAAAATGAAAAGACAACCTTACAATTGGGAGAAGATATTTGCAAACCATAGCTGATAAGGATAATAGAAAGAACTCATACATCTCAACAACAAAAAATCTAAAAACCCAATTAAAAATGGGCAAAAGATCTGAAAAGAGATTTCTCCAAAGAAGGTATACTCATGGCCAACAGCCACATGAAAAGATGTTGAACATCATTAACTATCAGGGAAATGCAAATCAAAACTACAATGAGATATCACCTGACTCCGGTCAGAATGGCTATAATTAACAAGACAGGAAACAACAAGTGTTGGAGAGGTTGTGGAGAGAGGGAGACTCTCATACACTGCTGGTGGGAGTACAAACTGGTACAGCCACTATGGAAAGCAGTATGGAGTACCCTCAGAAAATTAATAATAGAACTACCATATGATCCAACTATTCCACTGCTGGGGATTTATCCAAAGAACATGAAAACACAAATATGCAAAGATACATACACCCCTGTGTTCATTGTGGCATTATTCACAATAGCCAAGACTTGGAAGCAACCCAGGTGCCCATCAAGGGATGATTGGATAAAGAAGATGTGGTATATGTACACAATGGAATACTACTCAGCCATAAGAAATGATGAAATCCGGCCGTTTATGGCAACGTGGATGGACCTCACGGGTATTATGCTAAGTGAAATAAGTCAGAGGGAGAAAGTCAAATACCATATGATCTCTCTCATAAGTAGAAGATAAAAACAACCACAAACAATCACACAGAGACAGAGATTGCATTGGTGGTTACCAGAGGGGAAGGGGGGAGTGGGGGAAAAGAGTGACTAGGCACATGTGTGTGGTGATGGATTGTAATTAGTCTTTGGGTGGTGAACAAGATGTAATCTACACAGTAATCAAAATATAACAATGTACACCTGAAATTTATGTAACGTTATAAACCAATGTTACCACAATTTTTTTTAAAAAAGAATACCTTCTGCCTCTTTAAAAGAAAATAATTGAGGGGCTGCCCCAGTGGTGCAGCAGTTAAGTTTTCACGTTCTGCTTCGGTGGCCCAGGGTTAGCTGGTTCGGATCCCAGGTGCAGACCTAGGCACCGCTTGTCAAGCCATGCTGTGGCAGGCATCCCACATAGAAAGTAGAGGAAGATGGACACGGATGTTAGCTCAGGGCCAGTCTTCCTCGAAAAAAAAAAAAGAGAAGAAAAGAATTGAATAATTAAACATGCCAGATTGGGGGATGCCAGCAGCCCTGCCGGCAAAAGAAATCAAATCTCCTCCCTCACTGAGCTTCCCCTCTTTGACTCCCTCAAAATTCCTCATCTAAAATTGAGCAAGTAGAAATAAGTAAACCTCTGAGATAATTTGGAATTTTAATGCCATTCTGGGGAACCTCTGTTTCAGATGAGTCCACTTTAAAGTCATCCTTAAAAGAGAATTCAAAAGCTCTCACAGGGCTGGCCCAGTGCCACAGCAGTTAAGTTCGCACAATCCACTTTGACTGCCCGGGGTTCACCGGCTTGGATCCTGGGTGCAGACATGGCACCGCCTGGCAAGCCATGCTGTGGCGGGCATCCCACATATGAAGTAGAGGAAGATGGGCACAGATGTTAGCTCAGGGCCAGTCTTCCTCAGCAAAAAGAGGAGGGTTGGCGGCTGGTGTTAGCTCAGGGCTAATCTTCCTCAAGAAAAAAAACACCTCTCACAATGGAAGGCAATCTTGATTGATATGCAGAAACGTATAGAAGGCAAAATAATTTCAAAAACAGCTCTAAAAGGGATCCTTACAGCAAAAAGAAAAGAATCTTTAATAAATAATTTTGTCTGTCTGAGCAGGTCCATCTGCCAGAAAAACAGTTCAGACCTGACTGTTTTCTAAGTTTTGTACCTGAGGCCTGGCTAAAATTTTGGAGATCTCTGTTTTTGTCTATCTTTATATAAGACTCTCTCTATATATTTGTCTGCCTCCAGATGATATAATTTGTAAAGGATCTCTATTTCATTGGCTTAAAGTAAGTGCTTATGGAAATTATTTCTAAATATAATAAAAACTAACCCAGATGTTTTTCAAGTTAACATGATATAAAATGGTCATTGGTTAATAAAAAGTTTGTTTCAGTTTGTTGGTTTCATTAAAATAAATATGTTTTCAGAGTTATCAACATTGGATATGGTGCAGACATGTTATCTCTGTTACAAAATTCATCAGCAGAAATCTTAACTTAGAAGAATAGCCGATTTTGTCTGATGTCTCGTGAGGGTTTTGTAGGCAATCTAAATAGAATTATTGGGAACAAGGAAACTAAATGTGAAAAGGATGAAAGTTTTTGGAGGAACTTTTTGACAATAGTTTTGTGTTATGGTATATGTACTTAAAACAACTCAAGATGATGGCTAATGCTTTAATGTCACATGACGTTTTCGTGAGTAATCCAAACATAATTGTTGAGGACAAATAATTTAGATAAATAAAAATGGCTGAGTTTTTGGGTGCAATAATTATGTTTTATGGCCTGTGTGCTTGAAAAACAGCTTCAAAAATCTTTTTTGGTAACTAAAAAGTTTAGAGTTTTGCCAAAATTAAGTTAAATGATAAAAATTTATTGAGTAGGTCTTTCCACATACAGTAAAATGTTAGAAATTGCTTACTAAGCATAGATTTGTCTGCCTTTGCTTTATTATCTCAAAGACACTGAAAGATGCTTGAATTTATTGATAAACATGTTTTGTACATGCTGAGGGATTTTCTGTGAGGAAGCACATATTTCTAGAAAGTCTGTATATGAAGAAAGTAAAATGTATATTTTCAGTAAAGAGGGTATAAAGAATAGAGATATTTTTCTTTGTTTTGTTAAGAAAGATAAATTTGTCCTGAAGTACTAGGAAAGGAAAAAAGGAAAGAAAGCATGGGACAGATTCTGAATGTAAAAAGGAAGTGACAGGAGGTTTGTGGAAGTAAACCTGAGGAGTATTGTACACGGGCAAGTTGGCTAAAGTAACGTGGTGGAAAACTAGGATTTAGTTTTCCCTCTTATTTTTTTTTTTTTTAGAATGTGTTCTTTTTTTTTTTAATAAGTAGGTTTTTATTTTATTTATTTATTTAATTTTTTTTTTTTTGAGGAAGATTAGCCCTGAGCTAACTACTGCCAATCCTCCTCCTTCTGCTGAGGAAGACTGGCCCCAAGGTAACATCCATGCACATCTTCCTCCACTCTATATGTGGGATGCCTGCCACAGCATGGCTTTTGCCAAGCGGTGCCATGTCTGCACCCGGGATCCAAACCGGCAAACCCCGGGCTGCCGAGAAGCAGAATGTGTGAACTTAACTACTGCGCCACCGGGCCAGCCCTGCTTTCTCTCTTAAAAATGTAATTTTATTAAGCTTTTGTTCTACTCTTGATAAAGAGACTATAAAAGGTTTTTCTTTACTTTTGAGTGAGTCTACCTAAAAGACAGAACATCTATGTTATGTTAAAGTAATTCCTTTATTCAAAAAGATTGAGATCTATTAAGGTTTTTGAGTGTTTTGACTCTCTGTTTGCCTCTGACAATCTTCTGTTGTCACTTTGATTGAATGGATAACTAAACATTGTTTCCTATTTGATCAAGTGTTTTAAAACGTTTTGATATTTTGAAATACTTTCCCCAAAATTAAACTTTTTTTACTTAAAAAGGAAACTTTGAAAATTTCCGATCAGCACTGAGACTTCACAAAGAATTTGTTCTCTCTTTCTGTAAAGAGAAAGATATTAAACTGATTAGACTTAGTTGATATGCTGAATTACATGGGAAACATCATCAAATAGATGATAATAAGCCTTCCTAGGTTATATTGTGTAGGTAAATGTTATAGATATAAGTTTTTTTAAATTATATAATATTTTGAAAATTCTGATGTTTCCTGGTTGTTAGTCATAATTCTAGTTATTCTCTCAAAGTGTTATAGGTCACAGAAATAGCCAAGTGTCTTTGTCAATTGCCATTTTGAATATCTTGTCATTTGCAGACAGTTATTTTACTCTGATGTTTTTTGCAAATATGATTCATTTTTTAGAGAGATTCATGGAAAGGACTCTGACACTTGCTCTAGGATACAGGTTTCTGATACATTTTCAGGTTATGAAACTGAGCTGGGTGAAAAAATTACAGAACTGTAACAGAGAAACTGATGGCCTCATGAAAGTGCTAACAGAAGATCAAGAGTTGATATCATAGGACTGAATAAATGGATGAGGGTGATTATAATTATTATAAATTTTTGTTTGAAATATTGCTGATTTTTTTAATGTTTTGTTTTTCCAAGTTTAAGAAAAAATTTTTCTCTTTTCTCTTAAGGAACTATGATTTATGACAATTTGTAAACAGAATTGAAGCATTTCTCTTTTTCTCCCTATCTTATCCCTCCAGAATTTGAAAACTTGTGAAGAGTGAGTATGCTTGTATTCATGGCAATATAGTTATTTGCATAAGTTCAAGAAGAATCTGTTCTACTTATACAAGGAAACAATTGGAAACACTGATTACATTATCAAGGCTTTGACTGGAACGTCATATCTAAAAACATGCAAACTCAGATATGACCAGATAGCTTTTGAGGAACAAAGATCGGACTTTATGGAATAAAGCCATTTGGAAATATTGGCCTGTTACCTTGTTTACAGGGTGCCCAGCAACCTTACCAGGTGAGTAGAGAAGGTCACTTCGCTGGCAGGTGCAGAAAAGCCCAGGATAATTTGGGGACCTCTAGAAGAGATAAATTCACCCAAATCTGTAGGTGTTGCAGGCAGAGTCTGATGACAAGTCCTTGGCTTGGCTTCCCTAACTCAAGAGGCCTTTAAAGTTCAACCTGAGATTCATTATAAAAAGTTCCAGCAAAGCAGATTTAAGAGCCTATATGATCAATTGCTATTTTTGCTGTACTTATGTAAATAATTGGGCCAAGTTTATTGAAACTAGACATTTTTCAAACCAATGAGTCCTAATTTGGCTATGTTTCATAAAAATGAGGGGAATTATAGAGAGAAAAATTATGTTCCAATAGAGACCGTAAGACACATTTTTGGATGTTGGATTCTGGTTCTGTTAATTGTCTTTGAGGTTTTTGTTTTCTATCTGTAAACTTGACTGGATCTTGAATTCTTCTAGCTTCCTCAAATATCTGGTAAAGATTTCCAAATTAATGTTTTCAATTTATTTCTGTCCTTTTCATCTGGAATCACTAAGTACTAAAACCACCATTTTTGCTGAAGCCCTGCCAACTGAAGCTGGACAACTTGATATAAACCTAAGAGAGCACCATGCTAGCCCATGTTTGGACACTCTTCATGCCTGTTGCTTTGTAAGCCACTCAAAAGGTTCACCTGAATGCCTGATGACATCATTGGAGACATTTTAAACCTCAGGGGATGCTTCAACGCTGACATCTAGAGATTGTCTTAACTGACCATCCCCTGGACTCAAAATTGGCTTATAATTTTCTCCAACCATTAACCTTTGTTCTTCTAGAAATGCTTCTTATTAAATATCTGGTTACTTGTTTACACAATGTAGGCCTAACTTTGGGAGACCCTTTCTAAGTTCTAGAGATGACCCAAAAGACCTGGAGGGAACTCAAATTAAAGAGCTAAACACTGTGAGATGTATCTCGACACCATCTTTGTTGTAGAAACTGGGTCCTATTGAAATCCTGGATTTCATCCCTGCTGGATGGGACCACAGGAAAAACGCCACAAGAAACACGAACCATGCCACAGAAAAACATCACAACTGGGATCACCCAAACCTTGGATGACTTCATACTCTAGACACTGACTTTTCTGAATGGACAAATGAACCCCTGACAGACTGAAAGCTGCTGTATGCTATACAGAAGATGGTTTCCTAAGATAAGTAATAAATGACTCCCAGGTTATTACATAACTTGTTGACTATTAGACAGCAGGCTGCGTAGCTACTTCAGATTTCACTTGGGGTTCTAGGCCCTAACTTTGATTGCTTTACAGGCCTCTTCTCCTAGATTCCCCAAAGATTCAGGTCCAGTATACAGGGGATACTAAAATTCGGGCTATTTCACTAATCTGTGTGGTTGTCTATGTAACTAAAATGTGGACTAAAGTGTTGGTCCAAAGCCATTGATCAGAGTACTAAAATAGTAGTTATGCAAAGTATATCTTGCTCTGTCCACCTGGTACCCAAATGTATTTTAAAATAAAGGTAAAACAGTTTCATTCCTCTGACCCTGATCTTCACCCTTTCACAGAAGGAAGTAGCCAGAACAGTCTTCACCCATATTCCCCAAGATTGAGGAATGATGATTAGACAGTGGGATTGAAACTGAGGACAAAGAGGTTAAAACATATTCTCTGGGCTAGAAGAAAAGAACAGAAACTTTGAGATAAGCTTTGCTAACTGCAGCTGTGCATATTCAGCATAATCAACTATTGTTTAAAACTAACCAGGTCTTTCTGTCCCTCCTTTGTCTATGAGTGAGTTGTCTTTCCCAGGAAGTCAAGGTCCAGACGTCAGGATTCAGCCTCACAAAGTCAAATGCAGGTGAAGATGAAAACTAACTAGAAAAGTCCAAACAGTCAAGGGAAAAGAAATTCAGTCTTCAAGGCCAACACAGGTTGGTGGAAAGGTGCCAACCAGCACAAGCATATGCTCCCCCTCCTCTGCCTAAAACCCCAGCACATGCTGCCCCTCCCCTACTTAAAACCCCAGATGAAAACCCCTACCATTTTCCCTTCGAGGAGGTGGATCTGAGTTCTAACTCCCATCTGCTCGTCTGACTGCCTTTCAGTAATAGTGAACCTCTTTCCTTGCCACACCAGTCTTTTCCTTGTTGGCCCTACTATGTGGCAGGTAAATGAACTTGTATTTGGGTTTGGTAACACTCATATTTCACACCCCAGAGACAACCATGTTAATATTTGCATATGACTCCTTCTACTACTGATAGGCACACACATGGACCCATGATGCACATTTTTCCCCAGAAATGGAAAAACAAATAATTAGGTCTCTTTTTTTTAAAGATTTTATTTTTCCTTTTTCTCCCCAAAGTGCCCCACTACGTAGTTGTATATTTTAGTTGTGGGTCCTCCTAGTTGTGGGATGTGGGATGCCACCTCAGCATGATCTGATGAATGGTGCTATGTCAGCGCCCACGATCCGAACCGGTGAAACCCTGGGCCACCAAAGTGGAGCATGCAAACTTAACCACTCAGCCATGGGTCTGGCCCCTAATTAGGTTTCTTGATCAGCTAAACAGACCTAGCCTAGTTTTCTATAGGCTCACAGGGTGACCAAGATGGAGCCAGGGGAAAGCCACGTTAAAGAAAAGTCCTGGACCTGCCGATTGAGAGGGTCCCCAAGGCTCTAGTCTGCTGGGTCATGTTGATCCTTTGCCAGTCCTAACATCCCAGCTGACTTTGCCTTCCCAGGTAAGCCAAGGATTCCTCAGCATTAGCATAGTCAGCCCTCAGAGGCAGAAAATGTGCTCCGAATCCCGTAGATGAAGACTTTTAACTCAAAGCAGAAGCCCTGGCCTGGCCAGTGTAAGAAGGAGGGACGGAGATTACATTGAGGTCTGCCTGCTCTCACGGTCCCTCCTCCTGGCTCCCCATCAGGCCCTTTCACCTGGGCCCTCCATTCTTTGTGAAGGTGGCAGCGGGCTCTTTGGTTGGTGTCAGGCTGGGTACTCATCATGGTTCTTACCAGGCTGCCCCATCACCAGAAGTAGCAAGTGGAGAATTCTGTTTATTAGAATCAAGCATTTTAATGATAAAGACTTGAACTTGATGAGAAGCTGCTGTTAGACCTAAAAAACAAAGCAGATTTCTCCATGCACACAGTGCCTGTGCGTGAGCTCTCTTATATCCACAGAGCTGCTACACAAATGGTTCTCAGTCTTGGCTGCATTTTAGAACCACCTCAGGGAGCTTTTAAAAACCTGGAAGCCCAAGCCCCACTCCAGACCAACTAAGTCAGAACTGCGGTGGGACCCCAGGGAACCAACAGCTATGAGCACTACCCAGGTTACCCAACATGCAGCCACAAGGGAGAGTGCCCACTGTGGGCCTGGTCCAGGCCAGGAAGCTTTGGGGGCTCCATGGATCTTCCACAGATGATGTCATTAGGATCTGCATGATGTCCTTCAGTCACTGTTTTCCCAGTCGATGAAATCCAGAGAGGGATTTCCAGGCTGTGGCAGCCTCACTTAGAAACCAAAGCCCTAAAGAACTCAGACGCAGAGAAGGACTCTCAAGGACAAAGCAAGCAGTTGGACAGTCTCTCATGAGGCCTGGGAGCATCATGGAGCTCACGCTGCTGGAACGGGAAGATGCTCTGAGCATCCTGTGCTGTGTCAGTGACAGATAGCCCTAGGGGCAAACCCAAGAAAAATAAAGATCATGGCCCATTCCCTGAGTAACAGAAAGACCCCATGACCAGAGAAACTCGGGAGAAATTCTTGGCACAGGGACTCACAGATGAGATTAGGCAGCCTCCTGAGCAAGAGGTGCAGCAAGACCAAGACCAAAGAACAAACACCTTGCTGCTTCTTTTTTTTTGCTGAGGAAGATATGCCCTGAGCTAACATCTGTTGCCAACCTTCCTCTTGTTGCTTGAGGAAGATTTGCCCTGAGCTAACATCTGTGCCAGTCTTCCTCTCCTTTGTATGTGGGATGCTGCCACAGCATGGCCACCAACAAGTGGTGCAGCTCTGCACTCGGGAACCAAACTCGAGCTGCCAAAGCAGAGCACACCAAACTTAACCAGTAGGCCACAGGGCCGGCCCCAGGACCTTGCTTCTTTGGGCAGGTGTCAGAGCCCCACGGCAGAGGAGCCTTTTCTATCCTGAGTGCTGGCGAATCTCCAAGCCACGGAGGCCTACGAAAAACACTGGCTCATCAGCTCCTACAATTGGAGAGAAGCCTTGAATTGTGTCCAAAGCACAGGCAGCCTGCTGACAAACCTGAACGCCCACTTTAGGCAAGGCTGTTCTGCTCCTGAACTGGAAAGTCAGCGTCGTCCCCAGGGGAGCCTGGTGGAACTCCCGCAGGCTCGCCTGAGTGAGGACGCTTCTCATGTGCAGAACCGCCAGGCTCTCCTCCTGGTGCGCCATTAAACCCCCACTGGTGGGGGCCCTTCTGCTGCCTGCTTTGCCAGGGACCCTCGCCCAAAATGGGGACCGGGAACTTTAAAGGAGGCCTGCCATGCATGGAAGTTGGGTTTATCCTGGACAAATTCCAATAGCTTACAATCAGAAAGTAAGTACCATTTAGGTGCAAAAGTGTCTAATCCTTATCGCAAAAAGCTAATTTTTCAGACTTGGTCCCTCCGCCCGGGATAAGTTATAATGCCATTGAGATGGTCAAAGATACAGTCAAGATATAATATTTGTTTGAAGATTTTTTAAACTATGTGTAAGTAAATGTGTGGGCACACTTACCAGTGCAGTGGGTCTTTTTGCTCCCACGCTTATGCATCTTAGCATAGACACAAAAGTCCCTTCCTAGAAACAGCCTTGGCAGCGCTGCCCACACGGACGAAGAGGGCTCAGAACACCACTCATTTGTAGAGGAAGGTGCTCACATGCCCCTTACAGGTCTTGACACCACCTTGTCACAGGGAAGCAATGTCCTTCAGGGGTGGCTGCAGGTTTGGGAGCCAGAGAGACCCACTCCTGGCTCTGCCACTGCCCAGCTGTGCAGCTGTGGGGACAATGCCTACTTGCAGAATCATCTCTAGGAAGAAGCAAGGCCGTGCGCACAGAGCCCCTGACACAGTGGTGCCCAGGCCTCCGTGGGTGGTGGGCGTGGTGGTGGGTATCCACTCCTTAGGAAAGCCCAGAACCTCCCACACTGATGCGAAAGGGACCCTCCTAACTGTAGAGAAGAGCTGACCCCGTGGGCTCTGTTTATCCCCTAAGTGTCACCTCCCTTAGGTTCCCTGCCCGCAAGGCCTACCTCCCTTTAACAAGAACGCACAGCACAAACCCTCCCCTTGCTTCCCCTTGGCACAGCTCACACAGGGAGGAACTGGTAGAACAGGACTGTGCCAAATCCTAGTGGGGAGCAAATGAAACAGAGGACGAGGATGGAAGCTGACATTCGGGGTGTGGGTGCCGATCCTGCAGACCCAGGGCTCGCCTAGCCTCATCTCAGTATGTTCCAGAAGTCCAGCCCCGCCCCGACCTGAAGATCTTGATTGTCGGTCTGGCTGTTCATCTGAGCTTCTTGTCTGGTCCTCGTCCATCCCTCTACTGCTGTGGATGATGTATGATAACATATGCGTGCTTTTTCTTGCTACTTACAAAATCCCACAGCCTTTAGCAGAAAATGAATCGATAAATAGGAAGTCCCTGAGCTGGAGGAGAAGCAGCAGGGCGAGCGCAGCTTGCGTGGCTGTGGAGCCTGTCAGCGCTCCTGCGTTTCGCAGTGTGGGCTGCAGCCCGGAGTGTGGATTTTCTAGTAGCCCTGGGCTCCCCACTCAGCCTGCCTTCCAGTGCATGTCTGCCTGCTCAGAGTGGCATCTTCCGTCTGGCTCTGTCAGCCCGCAGCCTCCCTCCAGACCCAGGTGCTGTAACGTGGCCTTTAGGCGTTTGCTTTCAGAGAAATAAGCCCTGTCCAGCACGTCTGCCTTCAGCCAGTGGGGAGTTGAGCAGGGGGAATGGGCTGAAAGAGCGAACTGGAAGAGTGAGGGCAAGGAGCTGGCTAGGGTAAAGGTCAGAATCAGGCGTCCGAGACTTCGGGCTCAATTACCTGTGATGTTTTTGCTGCTGCCGCCAATCTGCCTCGAGCCTCTGTTCCTGATCTCTGGCCTGGGTCCCTCTGCAATCGAGCCTCACCCCTGAATCTTATCAACCCTGTTCATCTGCGTTCATTGCCCGCACCTGGCTAGCCTGACTGCCCTCCACCCGTCTCACTGCCCTGCCCTCCTTGGCCGTCTACACCCAGGTTTAAACCTCGGCCTTCTAAGCCAGGACCAGCACCATAAACTGCAGAGTCCAGTAGAAAATGAAAAGGTGGGGATCCTTGTTCAAAAGTTAAGGATTTCAAGGCAGTGACAGTAGAGCATTAAACCAAGTACAGGGCCCTCCTGAGTGCGGGGCCCTGGGAGACAGCGCAGCTTGCACAGCCTTGAAGCCCAAGCTGACTCACACCACTCTTGGCTCTCCTTGCCCTGAGGGCCTGCGATGTGGTCTAAAGACTCTTCCTCCGGGTAAACACCCCATACCCCATCTATGTGGCCATCTTACTAGCAACATGGTTGAAGGACTATATCATACTCAAAAGCTTCTGCACCGCAAAAGAAACAGCGAACAAAATGAAAAGGCAATCTACGGGATGAAAGAAAATATTTGCGATTCGTAGATCTGATAAAAGGTTAATAACCAAAATGTATAAAGAACTCATAAGACTCAATAACAAAAAGAATCTGATTTAAAAATGGAGAGAGGGGGCCCAGCTCAGTGGCATGGTGGTTAAGTTTGCAAGCTTCACTTCGGCGTCCCAGGGTTTGCCAGTTCAGATCCCTGGGTGTGGACCTACACACTGCACATCAAGCCACGCTATGGCGGTGTTCCACATACAAACAGAGGAAGATTGGCACAGATGTTAGCCCAGGGACATTATTCCTCACCGAAATAAAAAAAAGGACAGAGGAACTGAGCAAACATTTTTCCAAAGAAGACATACACATGGCCGACAGGTACATGAAAAGGTGCTCAACATGACTAGTCGTCAAAAATGCAAATCAAAACTACACTGAGATATCACCTCATACCTGTTAGAGTAGCTCTCATCAACAAGACAAGAGATAACACATGCTGGTGAGGATGTGGAGAAAAGGGAACCCTTGTGCACTGTTGGTGGGAATGTAAATTGTACAGCCACTGTAGAAAACAATATAGAGCTTCCTCAAAAAAAAATCAAAAATAGAACTATCATATGATCCAGCAATCCCACTTCTGAGTATATTTCCAAAGGAAATGAAAATGGAATCTTGAAGAGATATCTGTGCTCCCATGTTCATCGCAGGATTAGTCACAATAGCCAAGACACAGGAACAACCTAAGTGTCCAACAATAGGGGAGTGGATAAAGAAGATGTGGGACACTGGATGGTCTCACTTACATAAGCAATCTAGAAAAGCCAACCTTGTAGAAGCAGAGAACAGAATCGTGGCTCCCAGGGCCTAGGGGTGGGGGACATGGGGAGATGCTGGTCAAAGAGTAGAAACTTCCAAGTTATAAGAGGAGCAAGTTTGGGATCTAAGGCACAGCATTATAATGATAGATGACAATCCTCTGCTATACACGTGCATGTTGCTGAGAGAGTAGATCTTAAATGTTCTCACCACAAAAAAGAAATGGTAATTATGTGACATGATGAAGGTGTCAGCTGATGCTACAGTGGTGATCATACTGCAACAGATAAGTGTATCAAATCAACACAATCTACACCTTACACTTACACAAGGTTACATGTCAAGTATATCTCAGTAAAGCTGGAAAAAAACAGTAACCTGGTTGAAACCTCACCACTGAGCATTTTTTTTCTTAGAACGCCACCCAGCAATTAATCAAAACTTTTCTGAAGTGTGGATTCCTAACACCTCTTCCATCCCCCTTGTCCACACGATCTGTACATTCATTCACTCTGAGAACAAAACACAGGCACCCACTGTACACCAGCGCTGTATTGGCCTCTGTATATTCGAAGGAATTAAGACACAGTTCCAGATCTCGAGGGAGCGGTAGAAGAGACAGACTTGTGAACACAGAGTTACAAATCAGTGTGAGAAGGCAAGAAGGGAGGAGGGACAAGTGCCCTGAAACCAAGAGGAAAAGACAGCGACAAGGAAGCCCAGGTTCAGACTGGCTGGAGCAAGGCAGGTGGGGGGGGGGGGGGTGAGTTCGAGGTAAGGAGTGTACCCAGAACAAAAGGAAGGTGGGGCTGGGCTGTATAGGTGTCTACTGACAATAAAATAGTTCAAACGTTATGCACTGGGCAGCAGGAACCCAACAAACAGGAGGGACTGCGATCGGATTTGTGTTCCTGCAAAATCATGGTGCACAGATGAGAGAGATTCCAGGTGAAGTCAGGGAGTGTGGAGGCTACTGCAGGTTCCACGGACGAATCGTGAAGGGTTTCAATACCGACCAGTGATTCTCAACACAAGGGCAATTTTGTCCCGCAGGAGATATTTGGCAATGTCTGAAGATATCGTTAGTTGTCACACCTGGGGTGGGAGGTGTGGGGTGCTCCTGGCATCTAGTGAGTAGAGGCCAAGGTTGCTACTAAACATCCTACACTGCACAAAGCGACAGACCCCTAAGAAAGACTTATCGGACTCAAAACATCAGTAGTGCCAGGGCCCCTTATGACCACCTGCCCTGCATTTAGAAAATGGTAGGTTTCCCTTTGCAAACTAGTCTTCCCTAATCAGACATGAAACCTGGGCTGTTGGCTTCATTAGCCTAGAGATCTAATCTAGTGACTTCACTGGCCCCCTAGTGGGACCTAGTCCAGGCAACTCTGGGACCCTTTCTTTCTCATGTTTCTATAGAAACAATCCCACTCTCTAGATTATCTCCATTATCTCTGTTGTGTTATGACTTTCTGAAAACAAAATATCCGAATTTAGCAATGGGAAAGCTGTGAGCTGTGATCTCTGGCCAACTAACCCCGGACACTGACTCCATCTTCACGTGGTACACTGTCCCTCCCCAAGACTGGATGTCCTGTCCTCTACACATCTTCTTCCCCAAGGCCATCGGTTCTGCCCCTTTAACAGAGGCAGGCAGCCCAGAACTTAAAGGACACAATCTTTGCCCAAGTGTTTCTGTAACAGTCACCAATCATTAACCTCAAGAAGGGAGGAACCGCACCTCAGACATCAAGGTCACCTACGATGGCGAAGCAGACACGGAGTGTGGTGAGCTAGGGGAAAGAGCAGCTGCCAGGCTAGAGTCCAAATTCCAGTGCGTCACATCTCGATGCCCTCCACTGGAGTCCAAGACAATGGCTTCACCCAGCATGGCTGCCTCAGGGCTGCATTCGTCGCAGCTTCCTTTGGGTCATTCTCAGGGGCTTCTCCTTGGCATTCCTCAAGTCCCTTCTCTCCACTCCACCTTCTACACAAGTGCGCAAGGGGATTCCTCGCTGAATCCACTTCCTCGCAGACATCTCCTCCACCTCCGCCTTCCTCCGGACAGTCCCCGACTCCACCTAGGACACCCAACCTCCTGAAAGTCCTGGGAACACAGCACCCATCTTGGCTGCATGGCTCTGCTCCTGCCTGTCCCCTGCCCAGAGCGTCCTCCTCCTCCCAAGTCCCTGGCACACTCCCACGACCCCACTCCGGCTCTTCTCTGTAGCCCTCAGGGCGCCAGCAGCCCAGAGCGCAGGGCTGAATTCACTCCCCCGCCATGGGCCGGGCATCTGCAAGGTGGGGCATGTGAAGGGGGTGTGCTGGGTTTCATAGCATCCTCCCTCCAAAATACACATCCTTCCTGGAACCTCTGAATGTGCCCTTATTTGGCAAAAGGTCATTGCAGATGTAACTAGTTAAAATGAAGTCGTATAGGAGTATGACTTAATCTAGTGACTGGTGTCCTTAGAAGAAGAGAAGGGACACATAGAAAAACAGACACATAGGGGAGAACACCATGTGATGATGGGGGCGAGACTGGAGAGATGCATCTACAAGCCAAGGAACCAAGGGGCGCCAAGGATTGCCAGAAACCCTGGGAGCTGGAAGGGGCAAAGAAGGACCCTTCCCTGGAGCCGTCAGAGGGAGTGCGGCCCTGCCAGCACCTTGATCTCAGGCCTGCAGCCTCCAGCACAGTGAGAGAATAGTTTCTGTTGTTTGAAGAGCCCTAGTTTGTGGGGCTGTGTTGTGGCCGCCCTGGGAATCCAATGGGGAGGAGACACATCCCAGGCCTGGAGAGGCCGGCGGGCCTGAGGGGCATCTCCTTCCGCGCTCTGCAGGACTGCGCTTGGGCACAAGTCATGTCGCACTTATTCTATGCTGCCTTCTACCATTATTGCTCTTTCCATGTACCTTTGACATACTCCCTCAAATAAAAAGTGGAACCCGTCCATGCACGCCCCTCCTCCCTGCCTGCACGCAAAACCGCTCCTCCTGCTCACGCTCCTTCATGCCCCAGGGGTGAGACCAGCAGTGGTTCCGGCTCCCTAGGTCCTCTCTCCTGGGGTGATAACCTGCAGCCCCTCAGCCTTTCTTTTATCTATTTAGGCATCCATTGCAGAATTGAGTTAAGCATGTACCTCAGCGCATGGACATTATCATCATTAGGCATACAGAGCCTCTCTCTTGTCTTTCTTATGCATGTATGTATAAACATATACATATCTATATGTCTATATGTACATAGTACATGTGTATGTGTATACATGTGCATGCACATATGTCTGTACACATGTGCATATGTGTTCATATATATGCGTGTGTGAGAATGTATGTGCGTGTACATTATGTGTGTGTGTGTTTCCACTCCCACTCTTCTCATTCTAATGCATTCACGTCTATCCTTTTGTTTCTATCTGTCCTTGGAAATGTGTCAGGTTGCTTTGTGTGCATGTGTGTTAATGTGTTTGGCATTGAGCTCTACCGTTCATCCTGCTTCTTCCTTCGTTCTTAAGACCCACTGCAATGAGCTGCTGTGTGGACATCCGCTGCTTTGTGTCCACCAGCTGCACAGCACCCACGGTGTGCACGGACAGCGTCTCGCCAGTTCGGTCATCTGGTGATGTACATTCCCATGAGCTCCAGCTCTCCATCTCCACAACTTTCATGCACTGATTGGCCATATGTTTATCTTCTTGGGAGAAATGTCTTCTCAGATCCTTTGCCCATTTTTTAATTGAGTTGTCTTTTCATTATTGAGTTGCAAGAGTTTTTGTATATTCTACAGACAATTCCACTGTCAGATATATGATCTGCAAATATTTTCTCCTGTTCTATGAGTTGTCTTTTCACTTTCTTGATGGTGTCCTTTGAAGTAGAAGAGTTTATAATTTTGATGAAGTCTAATTTATCTATTTTTAATTCAGTTATTTGTGCTTTGGCGTCATAGCTAAGAGTCCTTTGCTAAACCCGAGATCACGAAGATTTACTCCTATGTTTTCTTATAAGAGTTTTATATTTTTGGCTTTTACATTTAGGTCTTTGATCATTTTGAGTTAATTCTTGTGCATGGTGTGAGCTAAGGGTCCAGCTTCATTTTTTTGCGTGTGGTCCCTTTCTCTTTCAATCTCTACAAGTATCTTTGCTCGAGCTGTCCTCACTTCAGTAAGTTGGTTACAATGTTCTTTGTGGAACAGAAACAGACTGCACTTCTCAATGTCAAGTCATTCCTAGGACTCTCTTCAGATCCGGATCTCAAGTCTCCACGGAGTTGGTGAGCCTGTTACTGAAAGGAACCAACTCTCAATCCTTCAGACCCCTGAGGGGGGAAATGTAAGTGAAGTCATCCTATCCATCATCATTTGAGCACTCAAAGCTAATCCCCTTCCTTGGAGACAGCAAAGGCCTTCTGGAATTGCAAAGGAGTACCAGGTTGACTAATTGTTTCCTCCTTCTTTCATCTAGCTGCCAATAAATACTGAAATTACTTGGAATGCAAACAGCCAGAAGAAAATGATGAGAAGTACAAGGTCATATAATAACAAAAGAATAAGGCATCAAGACTTGGCCATTGGTGGGTAACGAACGATCTGTTGGTTCTTCCAAGCCTCACTATTCTTGACTCTGTTCTTTCCCTCTGACCAGGAACTCCCTCCCTTGCCGTCTAAGACTCATGTCCGGTCCCCACACAGGTACCACCCCCACCCCCAGCTTTTCTTTCCCTCTCGTCTCTCTGGACCATCACCCTAGCCATCCTGACCAATTTTCTCCCCAGCCAACTCCCCCCTCCTTTCTGAATCCTGTCAGGGTCTCAGAGATGGCTAATATGGCTGCTTCTACAGTCTCAACACAGTCACTTCTCTCTCCCAAGCTATTCTGTCTCTGGTTCCCTATTCTACATATGGGTCAAATTCTCCATTTTTGGCGTTGGTGTCAGTCTCTACCAGCCTCTGTCTTGGGCCGTATATCTGTTGCAGGTGAGGCTACTTGACTTCCCCTTTTCCTTATCTCTGGCCTCTGAAACTCACCACCCACTTTAACAGATTATGGCATTGTACAGCTAAGACAGAATGCCTCAGACAACTTCTGTGGAAGGCGCCACTTTGGCAGGAGGAATGACAGGGAAACAGGTATAGGGCGTGTGTATGTTGGAGCAAACAGAAGTAGCCCTGACCGCTGAAGTGGTGAAGGACTGGGGAGTTTCCAACTTGGGCCCTTGAAGGGTAACAGGAGCGCTCCAGGCTGCAGCAGCCGGTGCCCCACACACTCCGTCAGGCCCCTGCCCTGCCCACAGTGGAAGCCCCGAGCCACAGGTCCCACTTTTGGTCAGCCCATGCCTCACTCTGGCCCTCCCTCCAGGGCGGGGTCTGATAGAGGCATAAAGCTCCAGAAGGAGTCGGAGACAAAGGCTGGCAGCAGAGACGAGCCCTGGCACAGGTATGTACTTCTGATGGGGTATTCAGGGAGAGGGGAGTGGGCTGGCCAGGAGGGGGAGGGCAGCAGGGAAATAGGCATGGAATGAGGGGGCAGGAGAAACAAAGACTCAAGAGAGGGGGGTCGGAAAGTGAGGGGCAAAGCCCAGAGGGAGTCGCTCCAGGGTGCTCTCCAGCATAAACTGCCCAGGGGCAAGATGGGAAACGCAGAGAGGAGGTGATGCTGTGCTTGGTGCTAGAGATGAGCAGGGCCCAGGACAGGGCATGTTTCACAGCTCCCAGCACCGAGGTCTCCCTAGCTCCAAGCTCTCCTTCTAAGGCTTCCTTGCCGTCATCTGCCTCCCCGGCTGCCCACTTGGACATTGGAACGGAGGATCGTACTGGCGAAGGTAAAGATTAAAAGAATAGCCGAGTTCAGGGTAAAGGATCACAGGTCTCTCCCACATCTCCCTCCTTAGCAGAGCAGAAAGAGATTTGGGGTAAGAGGCTATAAAAAGGGGGCCTGGCCATGAGAAGGCATGGAGGAACATAAATGCATATTACTGAGTGACAGAAGCCAGTCTGAAAAAGCTACCTACTCTATGATTCCAGCCGTATGACATTCCGGAAAAGGAGACAGTAAAACGACCAGTGGTTGTCCGGTTTAAGGGGGAGGGAGGGATGACTAGGCGGAGCATGAAGGGTCTTTAGGGCAGTGACACTGCTCTGTCTGATTCTGTAATGGTGGGTACCTGTTGTCACACATTTTTCAAAACCCTTAGAACATACAACATGTCACCCTCACGTCACCTATGCACTCTGGGTGATTAGTGCATCTCGGTGTAGGTTCATTGACCATAACGAATGTCCCACTCCATGGGGGGTGGTGATAGTGGGGAAGGGGCACATGTGTGGGGACAGTGGGTACATGGGAACTCTCTGTACCTTCCTCTCAATTTTGCTATGAACCTACAACTGCTGTAAAAAGTAAACTCTATTAAAAAAACAAGAGCCCTGACCAAAATTTAGTAGTAGCACAAGAGCTCACCCCATATCCTTCTGCTGGCTCGGGATTCCCCAGCAGCCCCTCCCTTCAGGCTGGAGAGCACAAGATCCTGTGCTTCCGGGCCCTCCTACCAGGGCCGTGGGGACAAGAGGAGGCCACCAGAGGGGATTGACCTGGCAGCCCTGGGGGATGGGATAACGAGGTGAAGACCTGACCACACCCTCCCCCAAAATGGAAGGGGATAGGGCGTCTCCCTGAATCACCACCTGGGATGATCCCCCTGTGAGATGCCCTCCTAGTCACCCTGGACGGTCACACTACCAAGGCCCGGGTGCCCCACCAGGGGGCCAGAGGCTCCCCTCCTCACCCTCAGAACCACGGGTCTACAGCCTCATCACAGTTGACTCTCTCCACGCTGCTTAAAATTTTAAATGTGCTGGTATCACAGACCATATCTGCATGGTTGACTTTAAAAAGATTAGCTAGCGGTTCTTGAGTGCTTCCTAGAAGGTAGGCGTTTGTTCTCAACTCTTTTTCCTTGTCCTACTGATTTCTTGCAACAACCCAGGAGGGAAGTACTGTGGTTATTTCCACTGTACGGTTGAGGAAATGGAGGCCCAGAGAGTTTAAGCCACCTGCCCAAGCTCACACAGCTGGTCCTACCGGTGGACCCAGGCACTTGCACTAGGCGGACTAGGACTTGGACCCGGGCAGCCAGGCTCCAGAGCAGACTCTTTGAACTTCTACACTAAATATCAAATTTTTCTACATAGAAACGTGTGTTAGATCAAAAATGCAGTTTTGCTGTCAGTACCCACGACACAGTCAGCACTGAGGCGTTTGCAGGGGCCGGGAGTCACTGAACTAGGACCTGAAGGTGGAGAGATAGGAGCCCGCAGTTCTGCCCGCTGAGGAAAGGCACAGGAGACAGGAAAAACCGTTCACGTGGGTAAGAAAATCCGCAGGATGATGAGAGGTTTGCAGACAGGTGAGGAGAGAGCAGAACAAGAATCAATGGCAAGCACAGCCCTGAACAGCGCTGGGAACTGCCTGGGGCCCCAGCGGCCACCGAGCGCTGCCTCTAGCTGGGGTGGGGGCTGGGGAGGACCGGAGTCTGTAGGAAAACCTGAGGCCAAAGGACAAGGCAGTCCAAGGCCCCCGCCTGGTGGAAACCCATTTCCTCCCATAAAACAACTAAGGGCATCTCTTCTACTGCCTTCCAGAGCCATGGGGCGAGCGACCCTGGCCCTCAGCTGGGCCGCTGCTGCCATCCTGGCACTGCAGATGGTGGCCGCGGCAGAGCGCTCGCCATGGACCCTGCGCGGCAGGGGCGATGTGTTCGCAGACCTGAGCGCGCAAGAGCTGAAGGCCGTGCGCAGCTTCCTCTGGTCCCAGAAAGAGCTGAGGCTGGAGCCCTCCAGAGTGTTGACCATAGCCAAGAACTCCGTGTTCCTCATTGAGATGCTGCTGCCCAAGAAGCAACGGGTGCTGAAATTTCTGGATAAAGGTGAAAGGCGTCCAGCTAGGGAGGCCCGTGCCGTCATCTTCTTTGGAGCCCAAGAGCATCCCAACATCACCGAGTTTGCTGTGGGGCCCCTCCCAGAGCCCTACTACATGCGCAAACTGCCCTCCAAGCGTGGACACCCGGCCTCCTGGGCCTCCAGGCCCATCTCTGCGGTGGAGTATGTCCTCCTGAGCCACGCCCTGCGGGAGCTCACCAAACCCCTGCACCAATTTTTCCTGGATACCACAGGCTTCTCGTTCAAAGACTGCCACACCCGATGCCTGACTTTCACAGACGTGGCTCCCCGTGGCCTGGCCTCTGGCCAGCGCCGCACTTGGTTTATCTTACAGCGCTATGTAGAAGGCTACTTCTTGCACCCCACTGGGCTGGAGCTCCTCGTGGATCATGGAAGCACAAATGCCCAAGACTGGACAGTGGAGCAGGTCTGGTACAACGGGAAGTTCTATCAGAGCCCAGAAGAACTGGCTCAGAAGTATAATGATGGAGAGGTGGCTGTGGCGGTCCTAGAGGACCCACTTCCCAAGGGCAAGAGGGGAGAGAACATAGAGGAGCCACCCCTCTTCTCCTCCTACAAGCCACGTGGGGACTTCCCCACCCCCAACACTGTGCACGGCCCCCGCCTGGTCCAGCCCCAAGGCCCTCGCTACAGGCTGGAGGGCAACACTGTGCTCTATGGGGGCTGGAGCTTCGCCTTCAGGCTGCGCTCCTCCTCGGGGCTGCAGGTCCTGAACGTGCACTTTGGCGGGGAGCGTGTAGCCTATGAGGTGAGCGTGCAAGAGGCAGCCGCGCTCTACGGAGGACACACACCCGCGGGCATGCAGACCAAGTACACTGACGTGGGCTGGGGCTTAGGGAGCGTCAGTCACGAGTTAGCCCCTGGCATCGACTGCCCAGAGACGGCCACCTTCCTGGATGCCCTGCACCACTACGATGCTGATGACCCCATCCACTACCCCCGAGCCCTCTGTCTCTTTGAGATGCCCACGGGGGTGCCCCTTCGGCGGCACTTCGATTCCAACTTCAACGGTGGCTTCAACTTCTACGCAGGGCTCCAGGGCCAGGTGCTGGTGCTGCGAACGACTTCAACAGTCTATAATTATGACTATATCTGGGACTTCATCTTCTACCCCAACGGAGTGATGGAGGCCAAGATGCACGCCACCGGCTACGTCCACGCCACCTTCTACACCCCCGAGGGGCTGCGCCACGGGACCCGCCTGCACACGCACCTGCTTGGCAACATGCACACTCACTTGGTGCATTACCGCGTGGACCTGGATGTGGCAGGTAGGACCAGGGCTCACACGCCTCCCAGCCAAACATCCGCCTCCCAGCAATTACTCACAGATGTGGTGCTGCTCCCCTGAGGCATCAAGTCAGGAGAATTGGCCCAGCCTGCTTCCGTGAAACCTGCAGGGCTAGGGATCTGCGTGCCCCTGAAAAATGGTGAAAGTGAATGGCGCCCAAGCCTTGCCCTGAATGGGGCAGTGTCAACCCTGTCCTTGTCCTGGGGCTGCGTTGACCCCTGGAGGGGTAGATTGGGTAGAAAGCTGCACATGGGGGCAGGGAGGGGACAACGCCCAGGAGTGTAAGAAATGTCTCTGCCTGACACTCTGAGGTGGAGGCAGTGTGGTCCAGGAAGACTCATTGTGTCACTTGAATTAATGACATCACCACGAGATATGGCACAGGCGTGACGATAGGATTTGGCGTGACATCAAGTGGTACGTCACAACAGGCCCCCGGGACCAGATGGGCAGCTTCTCCCCGCTCAGTCCCATTCATGCCCCGGGCACAGAGGGCACCGGATGAAGGCTCTGCGCTTGGGGACCGCCGAGCTGCCTCTTCCCTAGGCTGCAGCCGCAGCGGCAGCCAACAGGCTTAGAGCTCTCAGCGGGAGCCGCCCAGAGCCACAAGGGCATCACCAGAGCTGCCATGACTCACTCCGAGTTGTCTTCCAGTTCTTCTGTTGCCTTTTGCTTTCTTCCCTTCCCTTCACCCCACAGCTCAGTGTGTGCCCACAATGTCCTCTTCACTCCTGAGAGTTTGCTGTTGGATGTCGTCTGGGATGGAGGTCTCAGGGCAGAATAAGGACGTGTCCATCCTGGGGGCTCGATTCTCATTCTGCTTCTCCCTGCACACCTGCAGGCACCAAGAATAGCTTCCAGACCCTGCGGATGAAGCTAGAAAACATCACCAACCCCTGGAGCCCGAGACACCGCCTGGTCCAGCCGACTCTAGAGCAGACGAGGTACTCGCGGGAGCGCCAGGCGGCCTTCCGCTTTGGACGGACTCTGCCCGAGTACCTGCTCTTTACCAGCCCCAAGGAGAACCGCTGGGGCCACAGGCGCAGCTACAGACTGCAGATCCACTCCATGGCCCACCAAGTGCTGCCCCCGGGCTGGCATGAGGAGCGGGCTGTCACCTGGGCCAGGTGAGGGAGGCCGGGGAGGGCTAGAGGCTCCTCTCGGTGTGCCTGTGATGCTGTGTCCATGTGTGGCCGTGGATCTGGGCACGTATGCGTGTGTGTGTGTTTCTGGGCGTGTGTCTCTGTGTTTAGGGAGGGAGACGGAGAGCCTGTGCTCAGCCCTGAGCCTCTGTTGACATCAGTCAGTTGGGCTGACTCCCAAGAGATGACCTCGATTTGGGGAAAGTAGTAACTTTCCCTCATGATTGACCCAGAAGATGTTCCCTGGGAGTGGCTGGGAGGCCCCCCAGTGCCCAGAGCCCCCTGGCTTCTCTGCCCGGACAGGTACCCCCTGGCAGTGACCAAGTACCGGGAGGCGGAGCTGTGCAGCAGCAGCATCTATAACCAGAACGACCCCTGGGACCCGCCTGTGGTCTTTGAGAAGTTTCTTCACAACAACGAGAACATTGAAAATGAGGTACTGGCCCACTTTCCTCCAGCCCCAACCCAAGACCACATCTGAGCCCGGTGCCAGGATCTGTGCCCAGTCCCAGGACGGACAGCAAGCTCAGTGGTCACCGGCTCTGCCCATTCCTTAAAAGTGAGGCTTGAGGGGGTTGCCCGCCCCTCCCTTCGCAGCCTTCTCAGCACTGTCCACCCCTCTCTCCCCCAGGACTTGGTGGCCTGGGTCACAGTGGGCTTCCTGCACATCCCCCACTCAGAGGACATCCCCAACACAGCCACACCGGGAAACTCCGTGGGCTTCCTGCTCCGCCCCTTCAACTTCTTCCCGGAGGACCCATCCTTGGCATCCAGAGACACTGTGATCGTGTGGCCTCGGGACAACGGCCCCAACTACGTCCAGCGCTGGATCCCTGAGGAGGATGGGGACTGCCTGATGCCCACCCCTTTCAGCTACAATGGAACCTACAGGCCTGTGTGAAGGGCTCCCTGCCCCCAACTAACTCTTACCTAGAAGCCCATCACCCCCCAGGGATGGATAATAAACCCCTCACGCTCAGCACCGTGTCCTGCTTCTTGGGGGGAGGCACAGTGGGCAAGGCCACACTCCAGGCCACGCGTGTGGGACACACACAGGTGAGCAAGCACGTGGCCTTGGCCTCCGTTCATCTTGGTCAACTCCACCCCAGAAAAGAGCTCCATTCCTAAGGCAAATGGCACTCACTGAAGTACTAGACTCACCCACCAGATTGGTTTAAAAGAGCTGAGACTGACGACTGCCTCTCGGGAGTCTGGGGGGACTCTCCTGAGTGGCTCACGCGCACGCAGAGTAGTGCAGCCCGGGAGGACTGTGGACGAATCTAGCAAGATTGCCAACACCTTTACTCTTTGACACACTGATGCTGCTTCTAGGGGTTTATCCCGGAGCTCTACCTACAACCACGGGAGAAACATATGCACACGGTGATTCACAGCCGTCCTGTGTGTAACAGCCAAGTCGGGAAACAAGCCGACGGTCCAGCTAGAGGAGAGCGCCACAGCTCTGAGTCAACTATGGCGCAGCCGCACGCCGCAGCTGTGGGTGATCGTAAAAGAAACGTGCGAACCAGCACGTTCTTTGTACTGACGGGGAAAGTGCTTCAGGAGATGCTAAGAAAAGAATATCGCTTTAGAACAACACGTATATAGGATATAGTATGTTAAGTTTTGTATGAGAAAAGAGAGGAATAAATATGTATACATATTATAACATATATATTCATAAAAACCCTAGAAAGAGACACAAGACACTAATAAAACACGTTGCCTGTCGTCTTAGTGCATTCAGGCTGCTATTACAAAATACTGTAGACTGGGTGGCTTATAAGGAGCGGAAGTTTATTGCTCACAGTTCTGGAGGCTGGAAGTCCAAGATCAGGGGGCCACATGGCCAAGTGAGGGCTCTCTTCTGGGTCACAGACTTCTGCCTTCTCGCTGTGTCCCCACATGGCAGAAGGGTGGGGGAGCTCTCTGGGGTCTCTTTCATCCGGGCACTAATCCCATCCATGAGGGTGGCTGGAGCCCAAAGGCCTGACCTCCTAACACCATCACATCGGGTCCTAGGATTTCAACAGGTGAGTTTTCGGGAGACACAAACATTCAAACCCTGGCACCTGAAGAAGATGGGGAGGCATGGAATGGGGAATGGAGCCGGGTTTCTCAGTGTAAACCCTTCTGTATGTTTTCTCTGGAGTTTTCCTTGTTGATTTTGAGTGACAAGAACCTGTGGGAACCCACGGGGAACACCAGGGCGGGCAGGGGTTGCCTCCCTCCCTCCCTCCAGAGTCGCAGTCTCGGAGCCTCCAAGTGTCCCGGCCACAGCGCAGGCCCAGGGAAAGCTGTAACTACTCACAGGTTGGCGGGTTCCCAGGTGCCATTGCCTTTCACCCCAGTGCTTTTTTTTTAACTATAAAAATGTATTACTTTGTCAAAAAAGTTACAATCTAAATTTGAAAAGAGAAAGGGAGAGAGGAAGAATGAAAGTCATGAGTGGTCAGTGGAGCTGTAGTAGCTGGCAGTAGAATGCAGTGCACAGAATAATGCCCCTCCCCCCAAATGCCCACGCCCTAACCCTGAGAACCTGTGAACGAGTTACCTCTCACGCCAAGCGAGGAATCTTGCAGATGCGATTAGAGGAAAGATCTTGAGGTGGGGAAAGTCTCCGGGATTGTCCAGGTAGGTTCGAAATAATCGCAAGGATTGTCGCTTGTAAGAGGGAGGCAGGAGGTCAGAGAGGAGCGAAGGCGCACACGCTGGCTGCGAAGATGGGGAAGGAGCCACAGCCAAGGAATGGCAGCGGCCTTGCGAAGCTGGGAAGGGCGAGGAGACAGAATTCCCCAGGGCCCCCTGCAGCCCTGGCCCTGTAAGCGGATGGGCTGTGCTCTGTGAAGCCCCTAGGCCTGTGGTCATTTGTTCACAGCCTCGGCAGGAACAGATCCAAGGGCTGTGGAACTTCCTGTCCAGGGGGACCTGAGATGGAAGGAAGCAGACCAGCCACTCTTCCACTGTCCCCCCGGCCTAAGCGGCCTCGACTCTGCTCAGAGCTCGGTCACCCAAGTCTGGCCCAGGCCCAGGATCCGCTGACAGGGGGCCAGGGACAGGAGAGCCAGCAACGAATGTCCAGGGGCAGCCAGGCCAAACAGCGGGAGAGGGGCCAGGTCCTGGGCCTTCGACTGGATGTTCAATGAAACCTTTGCTCCAAGACACAAGGGAAGGCTGTGGTCGGTTTAGATAAACATTTTAAGGAGGCTCAGATGAGAGCAGGTTAGAAACCAGAGGGCAAGGGCTCCTCCACACAGGTTTAATTTGTGGGTGGCTGTTGCCTCCCCACCCACCCTGGAGGCAGCTTGAAGACCGAAACCCACCCCTCACTATTCCTTTGCGTCTTTCACAGTACATCTGATTATGTGGTGCATTTAGTGGGCACTCAGTGGTGCTTATTGAGTGACTGAGTGACCTACAGCCTAGGAAATGCAAATTCCAAATTACACCTAGTCCTCATATCCTCCCTTCCCGACCCTGTCGTCTTTTTGTCCCTTGGCCCTAATCAGGATTTTGGCCGTTCCCTTGGCTGCTGCCTCTCCACCCAATGAGATGGCAGGAGAAGTGAGCCTTGCCCCTGAGAAAGCAGCCCCGACAACCCCAGCGACATCACTGCCCTCTCTGGGTCCCTGGTGGTCCTCGCAGTGACCACCTCCCAACCTCTTTCCCTTCTAGTCCCTGGCGTCTACTCTTCCTCATTTCTCTCATTGCTCCTCCTTGCTTTGAGCATGACTTCAGAGGGGGACTTCTCCCAGATGCTCTTCTCCTTGTTTCACTGAAGTCTGCTCCAACCCTAGAGCTAAAAGTGGCCCCAAGAAATGTCATCCTAGAGTGGCCCTTGTGAATGCACTCAGCAGTCGTTCATTGTGTGACCCCGACATTCTCAGGTACGCAGCATCTCGGACCGAGAAGGCCAGCCTGGTCCGGGCGGATGATTCTCCTTGAGCACCAGGTAGACACGCGGGCCCACAGGCCCCGTTGTCAGCCCTCCTCAGACAGGAGGAGAGATGAGGGGTTTCCAGGGGAGGGGTGGGGGGCGTGAATAAAAAGAGGAGGCAGGAGAGAGTTCTGTGGTGATGGGGCGATCCTGTATCTTGATTGTGGTGGTGGTTACACAAATCTGCACCTGAGATAAACTTGCAAGAACTGCACACACACACCCGCCCCGCCACACGCCAGCACGCACACGACACAGATGGACGCAGGTTCAACCGTGGTGAAAACCGGGCGCGCCCCCCCCCCCACCGTGCTCTCGTGAACAGCGAGGCCCCCCAGTGTCAGCATCCGGCTTCGATACTGCGCTACCGCTGTGCCAGACGTCCCCACCGGGGAACTCGGCGTGAAGGATCCACAGACTCTGCACTATTTTTGCTAACTTTTGTGAGTTTATAATTATTTCTAAGTAAAAGGCTTTTAAAAAAAAATACATATCCAAAGCCTCAAGGGAAAGATAGTAAAACTCTTGTTACTTTTTCAGGTTTCTGATGCCTTTATCTGTAACCCGTTTGAAAGGGACATGGGACTCACAGAAACAGACCCGACTGCTGGTTGTGGGGGAGGCAGGAGGGGGTGAAAGGTGAAGGTTGGCAAAAGGTATGAACTTCCAGTTATACGATAAATAAGTCCCGGGGACGTGAGGTACAGCACGGTGACTATATTGAAAGTTGCTAACGGAGTACATCTTGAAAAAGCTCTCATCACAAGAAAAAAAAATTGTACCCATGTGAGGTGATGGATATTAATTAGATTTATTGTGGTGATCCTTTTGCAGTACATACATGTGTCAGATCATTGCGTTGTACACCTAAAACTAATACAATGTTAGATGTCCATTAGAGCTCAGTAAAACTGGAGGGGAATTAAAATAAAAAATAACAGGATATGGAGTGAACAAATCCTGTGATGGGAGTGTTTCACCAACTCTCGCCTTCCCACGTTCAGGAGCGAGATCATAAGAACAAAACACCATTATCTAAGCGGTCCAGAGATTTAACTAAATAGGAAACTAAATAGGAAACAGGCACCGAATAAGCACATTTTACAGGAGTACCTGTGAAATTAAGTGTATATGTCAAAGTTACAGAGGGGGCTCAGGCTGTTGCCCTGCTTGTTTTCCTCATCATCGTCACGCCCTCCCTGTCCCAGGGCTGTCGGGGCGCTGAGACCATGGTTTCCGGCCCCCCGCCCCTCGTCTTTGCTCCTCTCGGGGAGAAAGCGGTGCGCTTTCCCGTCTCCAGGGCCGGCTGGGCACTAGGTGGCGCCGCAGGTTCCCGCCAGAACCGAGGCTCCTCCGCCGTCCTGCTGGGACAGCACTGGGTGCAAAGTCAGAGTCCAGAGAGGTGCACCTGGGGAGAACTGGGAGGCAGAGAAGGCTAAACCCAGAGTGGCCATGATGCGGGGTCGGTGAGCCCAGGAGTCGAAAGAAAGATTTCTTAGACTCTCAAGATCTGTCAGTAGTGCTCTTTTATTTAGAGAATAGTGTGGAATAGCATGGGGACAGGACCCATGGGCAGTCAGAGCTTCTGCTGCCGCCGCTTCTGCTGCCCCCGCTGGCATGGGGACAGGGCCCATGGGCAGGCAGAGCAGCTGCTGCCCCCGCTGGCATGGGGACAGGACCCATGGGCAGGCAGAGCTGGTGAGTGGGGACAGGACCTACGGGCAGTCAGAGCTCCTGCTGCTGCCCCGAGTTGAGGGTTAGGGCTAATTTTATAAGGCATGGGTACGTGACTTATTTTTACTGGAGAAAAGAAAAGATGATGTAAAAAGTCATTAAATGATTTCAGTGCAGATGGGGTCTGGTTATTGTGCGGTCATATAACTTTAGATACGAATCTAGCCATATAGATCGGCATGTAGGTGAGGATGCCCTGGGCTTCTCTCCCTGGGGCGGTCCTAATTCATACCATAAAAAAAGTCCACTGGGTCGTATAGTTTGGCATGTAGGCCAGGTCACCTTGGGCTTCTCTAGCTGGGGCAGCC